CCTTTTAGCTTACGCAGCCCCTTCACCTGCCAGGAGGAAGAATGCAAAATTCACACTTTAGGTAGAGTTTAGAAGCATATCCACCTTCTTCGGATTTGTATAGGCCATTGCGATTTACCGATACCGATACCGATTACCGACACAAAAATATGCACTAACGAACATTTTAAATACAATCTCCGATAACTTTCTAAAGCGTTAAAAGCTCGATATTATTAGAACGATTTCTGATAGTCGATTCTGCTGATCATCGTATTTATTAATCAAAATTAAACTCAAATCAATAAACCAGCGACATCTATAGAATATCGGATTAAGCTTTTTTTGTGAACGGACAATCGGCACTGTGGCGCGCAAGGCAAGGCGTATTAGGCGGGAGCGGTAGAGGGCCCTATTGCTCTTAACGGTATTTACGATTTTTCGGGGGTTCCCAAAATCATTTAAAGAATGTAAACATACCAAAATCAACGTATGTTGTACGTGTATTCGTGTATCGTGCGTGTATCGCGTAAAGTTTTGGCACTTTTGGTGTAAAATCATTAATTTTCTTTTGTCGGAGAGTTCAGTAGAGGTTTTAAGTAGTTATTAAAGCAACTTTTTTAACACTTTTTGTTGTATTTGTGAGTTTAGTGTTTAATGTGAAACATTTTAAATAATATTTTGCGTATTAAGTGATAGATGTGTGATGGTCAGATTATTAGATATTTGGGGTGTATGTGTAATGGTATATGTTGGATAAAAATACTGATCAATTTTCATCACAAGGGTAAGCTCTAACTTAATATTTAAGGATTATAATTGTTGATTGAAACGATTGAAAAAAAATCCTAATAGGGCGAAAAAAGAAGCTCTTATAATTTATTTTTTCAGCCTACTCAACTGTAAAAAGTACTTAAAACATTGCGCATTTTCCTGAAATTAGTATTAGCAATGTCCACTAATATGAATAAATTTAGTTTTCGTATTTTTCTATAGAAACTTACGGTGGGTTTATACAACATCATCGTAATCATAATCACAATTTTAGTCACAATCATAAAAGTTTTATTTACTAAAACCATTATTTTAGATACGACCGTTTATACATCGCAATCGTAATCATAAGCATAATGTAATAACCTTGAAGTTCGTAAATTTTAACTTTTTTGATTGTGATTACGACAGAAATCGGTTAGGGGGCATTAATTTTTTTTTTCATTTTTATGTTTAATAATTATGATAATTTTCGTGTTTAAAAAACCTGAGTAATAAAATTTAAACCAAAATACACTTCTAAAATGATTATGAAATAAAAAAATTAAAAAAATTAGGTTACTTTATCAGCTGCATTTACATTCCAAGTTATGCGACTATGTTGTATAAACGCATATTAAAATTGTGATTGTGACTGTGCTTATGCTTAAGACAAAAATTATGATTATGATTACCACTATGTTGTAGCCCATGAAAATTATTACTGTGAATTTATAAACATTTAGAATGTGGGTATGGTAGGAAGTGGCAACATTGCATTCTCCCCGAAATTCTCTCTATGCACGGTAAACGAATTTCCGGAGAGTGAACAGTGGCACTCAAAAGTTTTTCAAAATTTTCCGGAAAATGTCAAGAAAAATATAAAATTTTCAACATTTTTTTTTTCGCAAAAAAACCTCATAGGCGTGTTTCTGAGGTTGAACTATACTACCTGTTAAAATATTTGCACTCATTTCGGGGACACCCTGTATACCTTTTTTCTTTAAAAAAATGGGAGAATTGGAAATAAATGGAAATTTAATGGTAAATCCACTAAGTTTGATTCATACTTTGGTTTGAAAATATGTTTCAATCACAATGTATGTTGACAAAAATATTTTCAAAATGTGCGTTATCATTGCCCCCATATTATGTAAAAAAATTGAAATGAAATTCACATACCAAAATACAGAGCTTTTTCGGAAGCCTGAATCACCCAGGAAGTATTTTTAAAGTGTACTTAAACTTTAATGTATGAAAACTATTTTTGGTACTAAGTATTTTTACACAGCTGTTGGACATCGTAAAAGGCTATAAAGTTGATACGTCTGAAACAGAAGATCCTGCTATTAAAAGAGGGTCGAGCAAGTTATGAATTTTTAAAATAGGTAAAAAGATATGAGTAGTTGGAAGAGGGTATATTAAAGGATGTGAAGTATTTGCAAAGGATCTTACGCCATAAGTAGGAATTTTTGCATGTTATGAGTCTACTGGAATTTTCATATTAAATTTTGATATCCTTATGAAATAGGACTCCTAAATTAATTTGATCTTCTTTGTTAATTTTATGCGTTTGAGTATTTGAAGATGACATTTAACAATACTGAATTATAGTTAATACGAGACAGTCTTTGGCAACCATATTTTACAATAATTTACTGCTCCTAAAATAGTATTTTTAATTAAAACAATGTGTAATTTTACTTCTACGAAGCTGTCGAAAGTTTTGATTAATAAGTGCTGTTCTAATTATCTATATAATTTAATTATATAACATTTGGAATGTTTATACAATTAAAAAAAAAGTGATTATCATATAACGAAGAATTATGAAAAAAAAATTAAAGTAATAAAAATATAGTTGTTCACAAACAATGTTTTAAACGTTACAAAAAATGCTATGACATTTAAAAAAGATAAAATATTCTGTTTTGTAGTATTAATACTTTAATCAATATTTACTCTGTAAAATAAACTCTAATCTTTTGCTTCGATTGCTTTATTAAAATACTACTTCCCATTGACTAACAGTGACGTGCAGTGAGTATACCGATGATTGGGACTGATTGATCTGGAATATTTGAGACCTATCGATTGGATAGTTGAAAGAAACAAAAATTGTAGTAGATACTAGATGGTGTTCGGTTGAATTGAACATATTTATACTAAAATTTATGTTGGGGTGGGGGTAGTTTTCAACCTTCCCGTACTTTTTCTTGATTTTTGTGAAAGTCAAATGTTAAAACACTAAGCAAAATATTGACACCCAAAGTTTCATTCAAATCGGAATAGCGGTTCTTAAGATATCTAAAAAAAATGTTTATTTTTTTAAAGTTTGATACCTTCTAACGGACAAACGAAGCACTTTTGTATAGAAGTACATTGTGTACAAACATTGTGTACGAACTTATTTTGATTCCAAAAATACGCAGTGGTTCTTTGTCCACGGAATATTGGGACACCCTGTATATTTCAATCTTTCTAGATTTGAATAATATGCTATTTTTCCACTGTTTTCCCTCGAATTTCTATTTTATAATATCTAGTATGTCACTGATATGCAGTGGACATCAATTATTACAAATAAACTACAAGCGTGGGTGACGTGAGTTATCAATTACACAAGATGGCGGAGTTCCAAATATAATTTATTTTTTTAAAATTAATTATCACTAGTAATACCACTAGAGGTCAAATTATTTCCGGAATTTTTTTCGAGCTCATGAATATTTTGAAAATTATCCCGAGTCGAAGACTCGGGATAATTTGACCTCGTGTGGTATTCGGTAAGAAAATTCCAAACGAAATTGTGTTTGAAAATCAAATAACTTAAATGTATTTTTCGATTTTTGGTCGAATTGATTATTTAGTTACTATGACAACTAAGTGACACCCAAACCTAAAAACTATTTCAGTTTTGAAGTTATCAAGCGGCACGAATTAAAAAAATGTTTTGCTTCGATCATGCAAGCAAAGAAAAGATTCGCCAGGAGATAAGCAGTTGACACCCGCGAATACTAGGAAATCGAAGTCAAGCGTATGGAAGCAGTTTACAAACCTTCATCTCAGCTTTGTAATTGAAATGTATCAAAATTATCATGTAAACAAATAAAAACAGACTCTCAAAAAGATATTCTGTCATTATAAACGTCAAAAAATTTCCAGTATAATTCGCTGTTGAGTGCCCACAAGGAAAAAATTTTCACTAAAATTTATCCGTTGCCATGGTGATTTGTCAAAAAAACACGTTTTGATTGGCTAAAAATTACAGGTGTGGAATTTTCAGTATAATTTTTTTCCATGCGATATTTTATTAAGGACTTGTTTTCTGCTATTTTGTGAGGAGACGAATCCAACAAATCAGAGATCATTAAAATCGGCCCACCCATTCCCAAGTTATAAATGGCGTAACTAACCCGAGTTTCTTGTATTTATATGGATTTATATTTTTTTTTCCTAAACTCATTCCAATGGGAAATGATCGTTTGTCTTTAACTCCTTCCAGCCATTATTCTTATTTTTTTTCTTATGGGCGACAAAAACTGTAATCTTACTTGCAATCGAGCTTTTATATCCCCCGTTTCAGTTTCTAAAGGTCCGACCCTATTCCTACGATTATAAACTTAATTTACATTAAACTTAATTTTGCGTCGCACGAACAATCCTCGGTAAAATCATTTCACTGTTCGAAAAACCATCGTGGCGCTTATTCCGGGATGCGAATATTTGCCTTATTCGGAGGGCGGATTAAATAGCTCTTGAAAATTGTAATAAATTGTAAATTTTCGTTGGGCCGTTTGTGCTACCCTCGCTAATCCAACCTTTTCGGTCCAATTAATGGAAAAGAGTTCGTCTCTTTGCTTAAAAGATTCGTTAATTAATAAATCTCAAACAATTACCGTTTTGTAATCTCGGATTAACAACAAAAGGAATCGCATAACAAATTTGACAATATAACTATGTGTTGCACTGTATTAATATGCAACTGTTTAATTTAAATGAATTATTTTTGTTTTAGAGCTTTTGTTTTTAGGAACTAGAGACCTAGAAGACGACCAAATCTAAAATGAGACTAAGATGGAAATGCTGATTATGCTTATATTGACACCATTGTACTCCAATCAAGTTGCCCGTTTATATAAAATTTTAAATTGTTATTTTCATTCCATTAGATAGATATTATAAGTAGTTTTTGACTAAAATTTGACCGTATTGTTATTATTAACATTGTTAGTATATGATTATCTTAAATGTGTTTCCTGTTTCAGTGGTACATGTTGGCTGTGGTATATATCTACAACAGATGGACGAAGAGCGAAATAAAATGTTTTGTAAATGGTCAATTAGCATCCAACACCGAAATGGCCTGGTTCGTATCGACAAACGATGTAAGTAAATTATAGTTTGTTTAAATTATAGTTACTCTATCACAATATATATATTGTTCTTTGGCTGTTTAAATTTTTGTCTTGTTTACAAGAACTACTTACTACCTACAAACCAAACAAAACCAAACCTAACCATGCTTAACTTCAATCAGATAGTTAAATTATTGACACTAATACTATTTTTTTGTGGTATTTGATTTATAAATGTATTCCAGATAACTTAATTTATTTACATACCAAACTAGATCTACGGCCAAACAGACCACTATCTAAATTAATCTAAATTTACTTAAATAAATAATCTTTCTCACCCTCGGCCTTATACAATCCCACAAAACCGAATTAAAGGATATTATTAGTCAGTAATGACTGTAAAATCACCCTCCTTTATCAAAGTTTTGTGTTTCGCTAAATTAACTTTGGATATTAGATTTTGTGTGGCTATTAAATAGAACATTTTGTTAAAACTATTATTCGAATTAAAGTTTGCAATAAATTATATACCGGATGCGTCTTGAAAGTGTCAACCTCTATAAGTTTTTTATTTTTGCAGATAAAAAATCTAGATTTGGTATGTTAGTATATGAGATAAATTAGGATTGATTGACGTATTCAATTGTTTTCGTTCACTTTCTGTTTCACTGGAAATCACTACAACTTTTGATTTTTAAATGGCACCCTCGGTATTTTGTAACTTTATACAATAGAAAATGCTGCTCTGAATAGAATGAAAAAAAAATATAAAAATTATATGGGTTTGCCAGTTTTGAGGTGCGTCTCTAAACTTAGCTATAGTAAATATTTTTTGGTTTACAATAAAAATATACAGTAATACTCAATAGCAAACATTTGCTAAAGTTATGCTAGATTTTACATTACGAAAACAACCAGGTAAAAGAATATTTGATGGTTTCGAAAATCTCTAAAGCACAATAATTATAAAAGAATACTAAAGTACAATCTACAAGTTGAGCGTTTATATACTCGCCCAGTGGGCACCGAGTGGGCGTGGCAAAATCTAGTCAACCGAGTCAGAGCCCACTGAGCGTAACAGTTAGATTTCCGCCACTAGAGTAGTAGGAACAAAGAACTTGAAGGAATTGGACCGTTGTCTCTGTTCATACTATCTTTACATAATTTATTAATTCTGATGCTTTCATATGCATCTAATTGCCTGTAATTTGAGACTTGTTTAATTAATTTTAAATTATTAAGATCTATACAATGTTCTTTATCAACAATATGTTCGGCAACGCAAGATTTATCCGGTCTACCATATCTTATCTGAGCTAAATGTTCTTTAAATCTAGTTAATATTGATCTTTTAGTTTGCCCAACATATTTCTGATTACAATCTTTACAAGAAATTTCATAAATACCCGACCTTTCCAGTGGAGCTGTTTTATCCTTTGGATTACCTAATAATTGTTGTAATTTATTATTAGCACTATACACAAGTTTATAATTGACATTCTTAAAAATTCCTTTTAGACCACGGGATAACTCTCTATCAAACGGTATCGAAAAATATTTAGACGTATCTTTCTCCACTTGAAAAGTCGAATTTTCAGAAATCATTAACCTATACCTACGTTTTCTAATTAATTTATCAACTAGCGAAGGAGAATATCCATTACACTCAGCTACATTCCTAATGTAATCTCTTTCTATTTCATATCTTTCGTCGGAAAGTGGGAAACTAAGTAATCTATGAACTAAGAAATTTAAACTAGCCATTTTATGTTCAACACTATGATGTGATTCATTAGGAATATATCTGCGTGTGGTCGTATTTTTCCTATTTTATAATAAAATTTTCATTGTTTTATAATTTTTTTATGATAAAACCATTATTTTTTCAGCCATTCGATAAGTGCTACATTGGCGCGACGCCCGAATTAGATGAAGAAAGGGTATTTTGTGGTCAAATGTCGGCGATATATCTCTTCAGCGAAGCCTTGACAACTCATCAGATTTGTGCTATGCACAGATTAGGTCCAGGATATAAGGTACAGATAGTTATGATTACAATTATTATTAGTAATATATATTTGATGCGTCAAGTTGCAAAACCCGTCTTATTCAAATTCTTATTCATTATTATTCAAACGTTGTTTCAAGATAATCCGCAAAAACTGTTTTAGCAAATGTTTGAAGAGTTATTTTACGAAAGATGTGTCCATTGAGTGTGTAGTGTGTCAACAAAGTTAATATAAAGAGGTAATATTTTGGCCAACTGTATAACAAACAATTTAAATGAAATAAAGGAACCAGAAAAGGTGTGTTAAAAATATTTTTTTATTGTGATTACCTCGGATGCCCCTCGACAGAAGCAGTATTTTGGGAAATTTGAGGAAAATAGGTTATGTAAGTGAAACGCTAAATTTGTAAATATCCCTACATATTTTATTAAATTAAATGAAAGGAGTGCTGTACTCTGCCTGGAATTCACAAGTAAAAAAGCACCGCAGGGAAAACTTTGATCACTATTCCAGAGAATCTAACTATGCTATCCTGAACTTTAATAAAAGAGGGATAATAATATAGAAATTGTCCTCATATCAAGGTTTCTTTTTTTTGTTAGTTTAGCAGGTCCCCACCAGCAGGTACTAAGGTCTCTTGTTGCGAGTCTCGAAGCTAAAGTTGAAGGTTTGGTGCCAATATCTTTAGACTATAAATTATTCTATGAGTTATTCTATTGTCTTTGTTTGCCCTTTTGCGAGCTAAGATATTCGCCCATGCACGGTCGAAAATTGTTAGTACACTCAACAAGGCCCTTATTCTCATACTAAACCACAAGCATCGCATCGCCACGAATAGACAGTAAACGATTTTATTTTTAGCCCAGAATATCACAGCAGACAAATTAGCTATATAATTTGGTTAACACTAGTTAAATAATGAGAAAACATTTACTTTACCTTTAATAACATTCTTTTGAATTTAAAGAAATATGTCTATTTTTAAATAGGCTGTTCATCTCAAGTGGAATCATTTTTTTCTATCTTGTTTTTCTAGAAATAAAAATTAATACTTAATTTTTAAAGAGAAAAAATACAAATATAATTGGGATAAGGCGGGGTTTTGTTGCAGTATGATGCGCATGATACAGCAAGATATTTGTATCCTAACTTAGAATTATTGGGTATGCTGTTTTATTAAAATTAGGTAAGGGCTTGAATTGGATATGACGTCAGTAGTAATATTTACTTGTGTAAAATTCCTATGAAAAAATGCTGGATTTGCAACAATAATGACAATAAAATGCAAATATATATGTAGATTTTAGGGCCCACTATTAATATGCCATTAGGTAATTTTTTTGGACAAGGCGGTTTTTGCAACTTGACGTCACATTTAAATTATTCGTTTATCTTATACCGTATGATCGAAAAAAAAAAGATTACGCCCAGTTGGCTTGTAAATGTTAATTTCATAGCCATCGCTGACGCCGTTTTTTTTTCGATCATACCGTATTATATAACAAGTCGCTGAGACGAGAATAAAATAATACGTATATATAAAATATATATTTTTTAATATTTTTTTTTTTAAGATGACCAGCTGGCATTTATACATTTTTATATTAAAATTTTTAAATTTATTCTCCAAAATTATTTTTATTTTAATCTGTATTTTTTTAACGTTGCTTTAAAAGTACGACATATTTTATAAGGGTTTCTCCCGAAACATTTTTCTCATACGTCCTGCTCATTTAAAATTGAAATGAACATTTTTTATTCTTTCCAGTCAGTGTTTGAATTACAAAAAAATATAGGATCAATATTCACGAAGGGCTGCTCGAGAACAAGCTTTAACTGGTCTTGTTAAACTTGTCCGCGACACGATATTTTTTTATTAATTAAAAATGAATTTGACAGAAATATCAATATTTTAATTTAAAAATGGTTATGTTGAACTGTAGGCCCTTTGAATAAGAAGACTAAGGAAGGAGCATAATGCTATCCATGTATTCATGCATGGTGGGCGGAAAAGGCACCATAAAAGCTCTCTAGGGTGGGGATCCTTGACAGTTCTGTTTGACGATTCATTTGACACATTTGAATTTGATTTGAAATTTTGTGGATCTGTCAGTCTTTACGGAGCTGATTTTATGTTATTTATTATTTATTCTACCACTGATAGTTGTATAAAGGTAGTAAATCTAGATGGAAATTGTGACAGAACTTAAATTAACAGTGACACTATCGCGATTTATCGAAAAAGACTCTAAAATAGTTGGTTGTGTAGCGTGCGGTAGATCTCGGCAAAAATTGAGTGATATAATGGAACAACTTTTCGCTAGTAAGTGACTATATAATATACATACGTGTAGTAAACCGATCATTTATGAAATTCACTTAAATTAACTAAATTATATATTTTTCTTGCATTTTAGCTTTTATTTATTACTTGTCAAAGATTAGATGTCAAAGAATTTAGATACGTTAATTTGACTTACCTGCTTCAGTAGCGTATCGGATGTTTGTGTTAATAAATACTTATAACTTATCTATTTTTATTAGAATTATATATTTTTATAACAATTTTAATAACTACCAACATTTATTCACAACGTAAAATAAAACAACAATTTATTGAGTCTACCCCACGTCTACCCTACATCATAGTTTTACATTTTTTAAATAAAATTAGAACGACACTGATAAACCGGAATTTAAGTCGGTCATATTTGAGGCCCATCGCGGTTTACCTAAGATTTTTGATATGCTCCTTCCTTAGTCTTCTTATTCAAAGTGTAGGCCCCACAGAAGATTTAATGGAACAAGAAATGAAGAGAATTAAATTCTCTACATTTTCATTTCTATGTTAAGAAACCTCTAAAACCTACGGGGACAAAGATAGAGGGTGCCAAAGTCACCCAAACGTACGTTTTTGCATTTTTCCGGGTGTTGCAAAATTTGTTAAAATTAAAGAGCATAAAAAAACCTACCAAATTGATATGTATTTTTTTACATTTTAATGTTTACGAGATACAACGTTGCCAATGCTGCGGGCTGCTGCGCGAATATTCGAGAACGCAGCTGCGCTCGGCCTATTATCGTGTCCAGGGCTCGGAAAACTACATGTTACTCTTAAAAACTACGTAAACTACATTACATGTAGTTAATCGACGTATATAGTGTAGTTTTTGTAACTTTCAAATATCAAAAATTCGAGGTAGGTTTGGGGTTATAACAGGTTAAAGATGAGTTGAAGCTTTAGAAAAGATAGGAAATATGGCTTTAAATAAAGCTTTAAATATAGAATTGGCGTCCAAAACTTATTTACATCCCTCATACAGGGGAAAATGATTAACTTATGACCATATTATTATATTATAAATCAAGTTGAAAAATGCTCGTTCTACAAAGTTTTGAAAAAGATTAGGTGGTTAAAAAATTATATTTTATATTTGTAATTTGGTTATTTTAATTTTTTTAGAGTTTTTGTATTTTATATCTATCAATATATTGTCAATATTGTCTTATCCATTATATTGTGTTTTTTTATGTGAATTTGATAATTCTTTAATTAAATAAATAATTTATGCCTTATAAAGCATTGGTCAGTGTTTCACAAATACACTTGTGAAACACTAATGACGCACATCACAAGTACATGCGAGAGGTAGCCGATGCTCTGTATAGAGTATGGCACTGTAAGAACCTTATATGATGTTTCATCAAACGTTTTTTTATTGTTATAACATTTCATGTCGTTAATGAAGAAGAAAAGGACGTAGTTTTTGCAGAAAATCTACACGTAGTTAATCAAGTAAATTATATCTTAATTAACTACTTCCGAACTGGCCCTGTCCTTCCTCTAGTCCGTATTCAGGCACTAACCAGTCGATCATCTGATGTCTTTTGGCAATATAGATGCGAGGGTTTTGACGTAGGAAGCAATTTTTTTCGTGTGCGGAGTAAAAACTTTGTCCCGGTGGGTTTTACAGCTTTGCTACTGAAAAATGAAATTGTAGAGAATTGAGTTCTCTTTATTTTTTGTTCTATAACATATTCTGTTTAGCCAGAAAATAGAATCCAAAAAATTGTTTGAATTTCTCTACAACGCTACCTTCAGCGCACCTAAAGAATCTGAAAACGATCAGAGAATGTTAATGAACATCGTAATCCGCGAACTTGTAGTACCCTATCGACCGTCATTGATTTTATGAAAGTTGCATACACATTGTGGGAATATGGGAATGAATACTGAATATATCTCGTAAACAGTAAAACGTAAAAAACAGTTACACATCAATTTGATGGGTTTTTCTTTACTTTTAAAAACTTTGCGACAGTAAAGCTATTCCAGTGGACGACTTAGACTGGCAAAGTATGAGGGCGAGGGTAATTTGATGGGAGAGACCTTTTTTGATGCCAGATTGACTGTACTACAGACCCCGAATTCTTTTCAAGGAATAACCCGCCACAAAAATATAGATATTATTTATCTATCAGATTGTTATAAAAAATACTCACAATGGAAACGGTATATTAACGTCATGTCAATAAACTATTCCTTATATAAGCAGATTATCCTAATTGATTTCTCAACCAGTTGGTATGTGGCATTTCTAATATAGCCTGAGGTTATTAATTATATTGAACGTAAACGCCAATATGGTTGCCATCGTACACACGCAGACACAAAGGATACTAGGGATTCGTATCCTTTGAAGATTTTAAGTATATAATGGAGACTATTTTAGTATACTCAATGTGCTCTTGAGTCAATTTGCTATTTCATAGTGAACAAATTATGAGTCTTGAAATTATATTGTGAATATAATAATAATAAATGTCATAATTTTTAATTAATTAATTCTAATTATGGGGAAGCCCAAGCGGATATTTTGGAATTTACTCAATCGCAACAGAATAACATAAGGGGAGAAACCTGGTACCCTGTTAAGTACCTTCACCATACATGAACCGTGCGGAGACCACCATACAGGGAGATGCGTTTTAGAGTCGGGAATTCTAGTTCCTTGGTTAGGTTAGGT